TGTAACGGGAGCGAGGCTGAGGGAGACAGGAAGAGCCGAGGGAGAGGGGAGAGGGAGAGAGAGAGAGAGAGAGTGAGAGCACACACACACACTCACTCACTCGACACGACTGAGGGTCGGACGCAGACACAGTGGCAAGGACACAAAGTCGAAGTCTTGGATTCCGAATGCCGAAAACAGCAAGTCACACTGAGTACGAGTACAGCAGCAGAGAACTGGTACGAGACTGGTCCCCGTACTGTACGGGGCACCGGTATAAGTACCGGGTGTCCGCTACAGTACCGGGGTAAATCTGCAAAAGCCCCGAGGGCAGAACTGAAAAATGCAACATTTGAAAGTGGCGCCCGAACTGCAGCATGGCGCCAATTGTCCAAAATCCGACGGTACCAAAGGAGGGGTTTGGCGGAGTCCGTAACAACCATCCCATTTGCAATGGGAGAGGAGACCAACTCGACGTCCGCAAGGTTAGCATCAGGATAGAGCTCTACATTAATTAGTCTCTTTTTTTAAGGAGAGAACCACTTCAATATGTCGTGAGAAGGTGGGTGGGAGGTGTGGATTAGGTAGGGAGCTGTTGGGGTGGTGCACGGAAGCGCAGTTTTCGCCGCCTAGCACCCATAACAGCTCATCAGAGGGATTAGTCATTAGGCTCCTGTTAGCATAGGGGGTGAGAGGCGATCGTAATCAAGGGTTTATAAAAGATACAACATAGGTAGTTAGAGGTTAGGATGCATGAGATCCATACCTGAGAGGTCATGGCTGGTGATGCAGTCGTATCAGTCACTGCCATAGCTTATTCGGCCAGTCTTAGGCGAGAAATCGGGCACTTCATTGTACGAGGCACAGTGTGAGAGGCACATAAGTGTGCCTTAGTAGTCTTACCAGCCAAAGACACCGGGTCAACTTGCCTGGTTGCGTGCTTGTGTGAGAAGCACACAGTATTGACAGAGATGCGTGTTGATCCAGAGATGTTTGAGTGCACCGTAGCAGATGGGTGAGTGCAGGAGGAGTATAGTGTGAGGGTGTGATATGATATACATAGTAAACATAGGCAGACAGGTTAGAAAAAATGGCGCAGGGGGAGCTTGCAATGGCGGTGGGCTTGTGCGAGCTGTAGTTTGGCATGCAGCGCGTCATGGAGAGGGCGAGGGTCAGGAGGGAGGGGGCAGGGGGGAGCAGAGGGGGTTCTTGGGTGTGGGCATACCGGATTACAGTTCTAGGTAGCGTAGTGGCTTTGCGTAAGGGGTTCGCGTTGTACAGGGAGGTGTGTTCAGTCGTGGCCGAGGAATGCAGTGTGTATCGCGTTCTTTCACAGGGTCCACGATTCTGTTTTGTTTTGTCTATATTGTCATATCGTGGTCTGGCTATGGAGGTCTTTGTGCTGTGTTGGTCGTATTGTCACAATGGTTTTGTCATGGGGTGGTAGTGGCGTTTCGACTGTTTGTCGTATGTGGGATGTCACGTTTCTCCATATTGTCGTTTCTCGTAGTGTTGTGCATGCCTTGGCCAGGTCCAGTTTTTTGTTGGTTGTCTTTATTGTCTGAGTTTTTTAAAAAAAAAGGGTTTTTTGTATGCGTGTGCGTTTGGGACTGTTTTTTAGTGCATTACCGTGCTTTGGGTCCCATAATCGGGGGACTATGAGAGAGTGGGTGTCTATATTTTTGTCCATATTTGTATTTATCATAGGTGAGATACATCGTTTGTTCTTGTGTGTGTTCCGCTAAGTTGAAGTTTGTTTATTAACTAGAACGTGTTTTTTTTTTTGTTTTTTTTTTTTTTTTATTTTTCATTTTGAAGGGGTTTTATTAATTTTATTATAATAATAATAAAAAAAGGATAAGTATTGATTTATTTGGGACTGTTTTTTAGTGCATTACCGTGCTTTGGGTCCCATAATCGGGGGACTATGAGAGAGTGGGTGTCTATATTTTTGTCCATATTTGTATTTATCATAGGTGAGATACATCGTTTGTTCTTGTGTGTGTTCCGCTAAGTTGAAGTTTGTTTATTAACTAGAACGTGTTTTTTTTTTTGTTTTTTTTTTTTTTTTACTGTTCATTTTGAAGGGGTTTTATTAATTTTATTATAATAATAATAAAAAAAGGATAAGTATTGATTTATAGGGATTTATTTATTATTATTATTATGCAAGGAACATGAATATGGACGAAGCACAAAAATCCAGATTGCAAAATCACACTGAAGCCCAAGTAGTCAAAGCAAGAGCAGATAGCACAATGGAACCGAGTAACCATCCATTTGAGGAACAATACAGAAGAATCGTGAGTCAATGTCGAAGCCCAACAGGGCAACACCAACAGCATAACCCAATGTAGCTCTCTCTCTTGAATGGCGTCAGGCGCCCTACCTACTCTACAGCCTAACACTACAACTAAAGTATGAAAGCAACCAAACAACTTGACTACCAGCGAGTGATGATGTCAACACCAATGTCGACCTCCCACTTCCACCAGGTACGTCTCCTTCTTCACCCACACTCTCCCTTGATAACCCATACAACGCCCTTCACCTCCGAAGAACTACCTTCGCCCTCACCTCCCCTGCGCCCTCAGACAGCCCGGCTATGGCCGCCAGCGCCCTGTGTACAGGCAGCGCCCTACCGCCTAGCGCCTGCCTGTCTCGCACCTCAGCCTAGCGCAGCACAGCAGCTCACATTAGCGCAGTGTGCCGACGCTGCCCGCAATGGCCAAGTCCCTGCCCACTCGCCCTGCTTGCCTATATGCCAGTGTTGCGTGTGGGCGGCCTCCCTTCAGCCTGCGTCTGGGCCCTAGTGCCTGAGCCCAGGCCCGATGCAGTTAAGGCCCGGGGATGCAGTTGAGCCTCTTTCATCAAGGCATGCGGCCAGATTCAGATAGTGGGCCGATTTCCCTTTGGCATTTTCGGCCTCTATACCCAGCATGCATTGTCAGCCTCACATTTAAGTGTCAGGGCCTAACTAACTCAGGGGCCCTGGGATTTCCACATTTGCAGAGATCCGAGACTCGGTGCACTCCAACCAACTGACGTGCTGCAACTGTATGGACCGCACTTCGTGAAATGTTTGCACAGAGGGCTCTTGTTGACTTGTTGGCCCGCCTTCACTTAGGGCGGGCACGAGGCTTGCTGGGGGCCTTAGCCCAGAATATGTACATCACGGCAAGGCCCCTTCTTGAGGGCTCAATCCTCACATTCCATCCCTTTAGCTTCGAAAGTCCGCTGAGATGCTTACTTCGCAGGTGCCTTCCCTTTTAGCATCCTCTCATATTTTGCCACCACCTGAGGAGCTGTGTCAATCAGTTCCTCTCTGGTGAACCACCGGTCTTCTTTTGGATCCGTATGATGCCTGAATCTAACGCGATATTTTCTCTGGGGTTTAGGAGGTCTTCCCCTACCCAATGGCTTCTGAACAAGCAGATCTCTGTGATCCACAATGTCGTCGATGTCCACTTGACCATCCATGGTTGGGGGCAGCATCGATCTCCTTGAAGGGAATTGATCAGTCTCAGCGAAAGGTGCAAGCTTTGAGGCATGAAAGACAGGGTGAGTGCGTAGGTGTCCAGGGATACAGATAACATAGGTAGGACCATCCATCTCATCCCCCACTACGTCCATGACTTCCCAGGGATCAAAATACTAAGGCATTAGTTTACGAGAGATCCCGAATTCCTGTCCTAACTCACTAGCCTTGACCCAGACACTTTCCCCTACCTGAAATGAGGACTGTCGCCGATGCTTGTTTTCAGAAGCAATCATTGCTTGCTGAGCTTTCTTGATGTGCTCGACAGCTTGCTACAACAACTTCTCATAGTGCACACCATACTCAAGTGTGCCTGGAGTTGCGGAGGATCGGTTTTCAGGTAGGAGGAAGTCTAGAGCGGATCTAGGCTTCCATCCCAAGTGCAGCTGGTTAGGACTAACGTCGGTACTGTTGTGTACAACGTTGTTGTACAGGCTGGCGATGAGAGGCAACTTCTCATCCCACTCATCCTCGTTGGGCTTGATGTAATGCCTCAGCAGGTGTTGTACAACTCTGTTCATCTGCTCGGCCTGTCCGTTGGCTTCGGGGTGATTCCCTGAAGTCATCTGAAGTTGACTGCCCATCTGCTCAGAAGTCTTCTTCCACAGCTAACTTGTGAAACGGACATCTCTGTCACTAACGATTGTCTTTGGTAAACCAAAGTCACGCACCCAGTTGTCCTTGAACAACTTGATGACATGGTCAGTCATTGCGGTCTCTGGCATGGCAACTAGTCTAACGTACTTTGTGAATCGATCGATGATGACGAAAATGTGCCTCTTGCCACTCTTACTGGTCACCAGGGTGTCCATGAAATCCATGGAAACACTCTGTCTTGGACCAGCGGGGATAGGTAAGGGCGTCAGCAACCCAAGCGGTGCTTGAGTTCGCGGCTTGTCCCGCTGACAGACTTGACAGGTCTCTACATACTTCTTTGCGTCATCAAGCATTCCAGGCCACCAAAATCGCTGTACTAGATTAGCACTCGTCTTTTTGTAACCAAAGTGCCCGGTTGCGTCATGGCATTCTCCTAAAAACAAACTACGCAAACGTTCACTAGATGGAACTACTAACCTTTTAAATCCGGCCTTATCAAGGCCACTTTCCGTGGCCTTGTCTTTTGCCTGAAGTTTGCGCATGATGTTCATCGTGACAGGGTCCTCCTGATAGGCTCCCACGAACGATTGAGTTACTTCTTCCGATACACCAAAGTCAGAAACTAGCGCCCCTAGGTAGTCTGCCCTACGTGATAGCGCATATGCAACCTTGTTGTACTCTCCCTTCAGATACTCAAGATTGAAGTCATATTGATCTATGACCTCAATCTATCGCTTGAGTGCATCAGAAAGAGTCGGTTGAGTCTTGATCCATTTGAGTGTCTGATGGTCAGTCCTCAAATAGAAGAACCGTCCCAACAGAAAATGTCTCCAATGGACAAGTGCCTTGTAGAGAGCATAGAGTTCCTTTTCATAGGTGGACTTTGCCATTTTCTTAGATGGCATCTTCTTACTCATGTATTCAATCGGTCTCAACTTCTTCCCATCCTGTTGAGCTAGCCCTGCGCCAATGCCATATTGGCTTGCGTCAGTGGTCACTATGAATGGCTTTTGAGGATCGACAACCATCAGAACTTTATGATTCATGAGTGCATGCTTCAATCGCTTAAAAGCACCCTCGCACTCCTCACTCCAGTCCCACGGCGTGTCAAGTTGAGTTAGATCCGTCAAAGGAGAAGCGATTGTAGAATAGTTCTTTACGAAGTTCCTATAGTAGTTGCACATTCCTAAGAAAGATCTGACCGCAGTGACAGTCTGAGATCGTGGCCAGTCTCGAATACTAGCCACCTTCGCATCTTCCGGCCTAATCCCTTCCGCGGATACTTCATGACCCAAATATAATATCTTAGTGCGACCAAACTCACACTTCTCTAGGTTGACCTTATACTTGTGCTGTCGCAGGAGTGAAAGTACAGTCTCAACGTGCTGTGGATGCTCTTCGGCAGACTTATTAAAGATCAGAATATCGTCAAGGTAAACCACGACAAACTTATCTAAATGGTCATGGAAGATCCGATTCATGGCGTGCTGGAATGTTCCCGGTGCATCGCAAAGACCAAAGGGCATCACTACAAACTCATACATACCATATCGAGTCTGAAAAGTTGTCTTATGTTGGTCCTCAGGTCTTATAGCGATCTGATGATAGTCGGATCTCAAGTCTATCTTGCTATAGTACTTGCATCCCTGCACCCTATCCAGTAGGTCGTCTATGCGCGGTAGAGGCTCTGCGTTCTTCACTGTGATGGCATTGAGGCCTCTCTAGTCAATGCACATCCTCAATGTACCCCCGTTCTTTGGTACAAATAGTACTGGAGATCCGTAAGGGGAAGTACTAGGCCGGATCCATCCCTTCTCTATCAGCTCTTTCAGTTGTTGCCGAAGTTCATCTAACTCGGCGGGAGCCATCCTATAGATCCTTCCCTTTGGGGTCTTACTCCCTGGAATGATTTCTATATCGTGGACAACTTCCCTTTCGACAACTCCTATAGGCTCTTCGAACAGATCAGGGAACTTAGCAACGACGTGTTCTTTCTCTGGGGTGTTTTAACGGCCTCCCCTTTATCAGAGACATACACTAGGTACATACCCTCCTCTTGGTTTTGTTTGTAATAGTAGTAGAACACTGATGCACAAAAGCAGCCGTAGGTATCTATAATGCTACTGGCTTTGAACTTAGTCAATCTGACTGTTCTGCCATCGGGCAACTAATGTTTAAGCACCTTCTTGTCCCTGTCGAACTGGGGCTTAGCAACCTCAAGGTAGTACATGCCTAACAACATGTCAAACGACAAGTCGTCACTAACCAGGAACGAAATCTTATGATTCAGTTCCCCTCCTCCATAGAAGAAGGTACAGACTACATTCGGGATATAGTCTGTGACAATCATGCGCTCGTTGTTGGCCAAAGTAGATGCTACTGGTCTACTAAGGTGCCGTACCCGGTCCTAAAGATGCAACCTTTCCAAACAGTCGCGACTTATATAATTCCGCATGGATCCGATGTCTATGAAGGCACCACATTTGCGGCCTCCTACATCCACTTCCACCACGAAACGTTCCCCTCTAGGACCTTTCTTTAGTGCCACCCAAGATTCGTGAGGGTCCTTGTTTGACCACTCACTTTCCAAATCTTCTAAGGCTTCAGACACATCCAACGTACAGAGCATAGTTTGGTCCGGATGAGTCTGCGGGGTGACTAAAAAGTCATTAGCTATGGTCATCTCATGAAGTGGGGAGGGTATGTGGCCCACTTCATCCTGAGTAGAAGCAGCTAAAACTTCCACCGACCTCACTTGTTTCCCGAGCTAGAAGCCTGGGAATAAGGTGCCCCCATCTTAGGAGGTATCTTTTGCGTGACCTTTGCGTTCTGGCACTTGTACTGCGAGTGTCCGTATTCCCCGCAGTTAATGCAAGCACCACGCACTCGGCGGTCCCGCCACACATCTTGATGAAGACCTGCCCTAACCCAATCATCCACTTTGGCCTGATTGGAGGCGGCCTTCCCTTGACTCTTTGGTTGGCCCTTCACTCGGCCACCAGCCTTAGCCTTAACTACTGCGGCGAGGGTGCTACCCTCAGCGGTCTCGTCGCCGTCGTACTCTGAAATGTCAAGCAGGTCTGTGAGCTCGTCGATCTCGGTTTGGGTCCCATCGGACTCAACCATCAACAATTTAGCCCCCTTCTTCTTCCATTCCTGCGGACTCTTCTTCTTGCTCGTGTCATTCTGAGAAGGTTGAGCGTTTCCTAGAGTGGCCTCCTAGACAACGTCTCAAAGGAGTGATACTCGAGGCGAGCCTCTCTGGCCAACAAGTTTCTGAGATTCTCTAGTAGACATCTCACAAACGTGGTCAATAGGAACTGGTTGTTGTAGTTTATACCATGAACGACGATGAGGCTCTCTGTGGTAGTCGTAAGCTCCCTGACTGACTTGAACTTTCGTTGGTCTAGTCTGTTTATCGCATCAGTGGCCATTTGTGTCTGCTGAGGATTGTGCCATCGAGCTTCTACCATTTCCATGAACTGGTCTAACGTAATTGTCCTAGCCCAGTCCGCCATGCGTCGTCCGTACCGAGCCTTTGTCACTACACCATCCAACCATTTGGCTGCCTTACCCTCGAGGTAAGATGCAGCAGTAATCACCTCCTCCTCCTGCAAAGTCCTCTTTGCCTTCACCCAAACCGGAACTGTTCTCAACCAAGTGTTGAGCTCTTCGTCCTTCTTCTCGCCCGAAAAGGCAAGAGGCGGTTTCATAGGGGTCTTAGGGTACGAAAGACCTTGCGGCTGTCCCTGTGGAGGAACAGATTGTTGCGGTGGTGTAGCTCCCACCGCTGGACCCGAAGAAGAAGAAGCAACAGTCTGTGAGACTGCTGCAGACGCGCCACTTGGTTGTGTGTCAGCTTGTACAGGAAAGGGGCCAGACATCGCTGTTAACGGCAACGGCGACTGTGCTGGTGGCCTAAATCCTAGCCTTTGCAAAATGTCCAGGATCTGGTCTAGGGTGTTCTGCATAAAGTCCAATCGGCTGTCCACGTGCGCATGCAGCAACATCATATTGTTCTTCAATATTTTCATTTGGTCAGACAGTCTTGACTCATCCAAACCCTCTAACTCAGCTTTGTCTGCCTCTAACGTTTCAAGCCTGGCTGTTCTATTTTTGATCTCTCTTTCTCTATCGGTTGCTTGCTTCAGTTCCCTCTCTAATTGTTCACGGATCCTTTCGACCTGTTGGAACTCTCGAAGCTCCCTTTCCCGTGGGGTCAACGGGCTGAACTGCAAGCCCACCATTTGACTTGTAGATTGCCGAGAACCTACTGAACTGGAAGTACCCGTGGACCCAGTGGGCATTCCATACTGAGTCTCATTGGTCCCAGACGATGACGCAACAGAGGATGCTGCTGCAGAAGACATGACTACAGTAACTGCCCTTGCTGCTGCTGCAGCCTGTTCCCTAGCTGCGGCGTTCACTGTTTCCCTAGCTGCTGCTAGTGCACGGGCTCTGCGTTCAACACGAAGCCGTCCTTCGTCTCCCGGTTGTAGGGCCTGAAACACGTGCGGGATCCTACGTGATCTCGAACGTGTTAATCTTGCATCGTCAACTGTTCCCTCATCGACGATGACCCGTTCATCAATTAGGCAAACATTATCTGCACTAGAACCCCCTAGTGGAGTCCTACCACAACATGTGTCTGACCGACACCTAATTTTCTAAAAATAGCTGTGTCCGACAGATCCCCTACTTGACCGATCAAGTGGCAGCCTACAACATTATCAAAAGACTGTCAACATGGTATTTGTTCTATATTAATTAGTTCACTTACAACAGCATTAGATAGAACTGGCTATGGTAGTATACAATAGTCCTACTCTAATTTGTCTGTGAGGTGTTAGCAGCTGTCAACCAACTAATCAATAATAAAACAAAACCATGTTGCAGATGTATGATCAGTGGGTATGGTTATGTATCCAGTTGAGCATCAATTAGAACCTACCCTCCCATCAATCCAACATACCGAACAGCATCAATGAGCAGCGGTGTCTTCGTGTGCATTTTCGGCCCACCCCTGTGCCCAAGTCATTGCCGAGCAAGCCAGCCTATCCACTCTTATTTACCCTTGTACGGAACGAGCCTTACTGCCCAATGTGATCGGGCTGATCAGGAGGAATTTAAAGAGAGCCCCCATCTCCGCAGGAATTATTTAACGTCGCAGACAGGACGACAATCACAGCCAGAATCAACACTGAGTCCCCAACCAGAAATGTTTATAGACGGTCTGGTAAGCGTCTCTTATGGGCTGGCACACCCGGCATGACTTCTATCAGCGCAGCAAAGTGCCAAAATGGACAGCAGTCATCGCATGCGTGACCTACTACCATTGGGTTGGCATGGTGATCGTGACCCAGTGTTTCTACCAGGGCCCTTCAGAGGCACCGACCTTTCTCCTTCCAGATGCTTCCGGGAAGATTGTCGTCTCTCAAGGTAGCGCGCTCACGACACCTCACCAAAAGAGAGGACTCTCAAGTTGGACTCACTTCCTCATGGTAAGAAGAGATAAAGAGAGTAGATAAGGTAAGGGAACAACGTATCTGGAGATAGCTGCCCCCAGCCACAAATTTCTCACCAATTGAGCTGAGTGTGCATTTGATGACTGATCTTGGCCTCGGCACCACCCACAACGCAATGCAGTGTCACCTCAGCTGAATGCCACATCAGCATGCTCTCATCACCAATCATACATTCCGCATGTCACCACGGCATAATGCCGTCTTAGCCTTCCGGCGCAGACCTCTCTACCCAGGTAGTGCGCCTAATATGGCCTGACGTCACAAGAACCAACTGCGAAGAAACATCGTCAACGCACCAAGTCTGTATAACGCCAGCGTGCCAAGGTAAGTGGCGAATCAAACCAGTTCCGATACCAAAATGCAAGGAACATGAATATGGACGAAGCACAAAAATCCAGATTGCAAAATCACACTGAAGCCTAAGTAGTCAAAGCAAGAGCAGACAGCACAATGGAACCGAGTAACCATCCATTTGAAAAACGATACAGAAGAATCGTGAGTCAATGTCCACGCCCAACAAGGCAACACCAACAACATAATCCAATGTAGCTCTCTCTCTTGAATGGCGCCAGGCGCCCTACCTACTCTACAACCTAACACTACAACTACAGTATGAAAGCAACCAAACAACTTGACAACCAGCGAGTGATGATGTCGACACCAATGCCGACCTCCCACTTCCACCAGGTACGTCTTCTTCTTCACCCACACTCTCCCTTGAAAACCCACACAACGCCCTTCACCTCCGAAGAACCACCTTCGCCCTCACCTCCCCTGCACCCTCAGGCAACCTGGCTATGGCCGCCAGCGCCCTGTGTACAGGCAGCGCCCTACCGCCTAACGACTGCCTGTCTCGCACCTCAGCCTAGCGCAACGCAGCAGCTCGCATCAGCGCAGCGTGCCGGCATTGCCCGCAATGGCCAAGTCCCTGCCCACTCGCCCTGCTTGCCTATATGCCAGTGTTGCGTGTGGGAGGCCTCCCTTCAGCCTACATCTGGGCCCCAGTGCCTGAACCCAGGCCCGATGCAGTTGAGGCCCGGGGAATGCAGTTGAGCCTCTTTCGTCAGGGCCTGCGGCCAGATTCAGATAGTGGGCCGATTTCCCTTTGGCATTTTCGGCCCCTATACCCAACATGCATTGTCGGCCTCACGTCCAAGTGCCCAGGGCCTAACTAACTCAGGGGCCCTGAGATTTCTACATTTGCAGAGATCCGAGACTCGGTGCACTCCAACCAACTGGCGTGCTGCAACTGTATGGACCCCACTTCGTGAAATGTTTGCACAGAGGGCTCTTGTTGATTTGTTGGCCCGCCTTCACTTAGGGCGGGCACGAGGCTTGCTGGGGCCCTTAGCCCAGAATATGTACATCAAGGCAAGGCCCCTTCTTGAGGGTTCAATCCTCACAATTAAGGCTTCTCTTTTTTTATTTTTTAATTATTTTATTATTATTATTAATTCTTTAAGGCTAGTATAAATTTGTCTATTAGTATTTTTAGTGATAGTTATACATACTTATCTATTGTTACTGTTTTTTTTTAATTATTTTTTTTAATATTATTTTATCATTTTTTTTAATTATTTATTTTTATTATTTTATTAATTATTATTTTATTATTTTATTATTTTATTATTTTATTATTTTATTATTTTATTGTTAGAAACAATTATAATTTTATTACTATTTTTATTATTACTATTATTTATTAATAAATAATAATAATATTATTATTATCAGGGTTACCAGCCCGTACGTACGGAGGCCCCCGGGCGGACCTCCGTACGTTCGGGCGTTCAGGGTCCCGTACGGGGCCCGAACCCGGCGACGTTCGGCCCCCGCCAAAAATTATTTCGGGGCCTAAAAATAATGTTAGTTTTCTGAATTTTGTTTTATGAGTTCTCTATGACATGAGGTACATGCATATAAATTTTCAAGGCATTTGCCTTAGCCAAATAATAATTAAAAATCGCCAAAGATGGCGGTGTCAAAACGTGCTCGCCCAGATTTTTTTTCACTTTTGACTTTTTGTTTTCACTTTAGTTCGGGGTCTAGACAATTTTATTATTTTTTGAAACTTTTTTAGTGGGTTTTGTATTATGTGAAGTACACATCTGTAAAGTTTTTGGGCATTTAGCTATGCCAAAAAAAAAAAGAAAAATCGCCAAAGATGGCGGTGTCGAAAACATGCTGGCGCACTTACTAAATTTAATTCTCTTTTTATTTTTATTTATTTTTATTATTAGTATTTGTTTTGT